CTTTTACAGTCATTAGCATTCCGGAAAGTACTTTCCGGAATAGTAAAATTATTGTTCATATAATTCCGGAAAGAACTTTCCGTAATAGTAACTTTAATATTATGGAAAGTACTTTCCGGAATTATGTAACAAAACATTTCCGGAAAATACTTTCCGGAATAAGAATTTAATATTATGGAAAGTATTTTTCGGAACATTTTTATATAATTCTGGAAAGAACTTTCCGTAACAGTAAGAAGAAGAAGAAGAGGAGTGTCGGAAAGAGAAAGAAGAGGGGTGTGCGAGGTGCGGGAAAAAAAAAAAGAAGAAGAGGAGTGTCAGAAAGAGAAAGAAGAGGGGTGCGCAATGTCAGCAGGTGGTCTTGTAAGAGAAAGACTCTTACTTATTCTATGGAAAAAAAGATTAGTACAAAAATAACTTTTAAAATCAGGGTTTTAAACTCAGTCATAAGGTAGCCATTTTAAAAGTGACGCGGTGACTTGTACTGCAACAGAACGGCCCCAGAACGGGCCGTACTGCTTGCAAAACGGTCGTACTGCAAGCATTGAAAATGAAAGTTGGATATGATCTTAGAAGAGTTTGTTTATATAAAATATGTATAACCATAAAGATGGAAAGTCTATACCCAAATATTTTTTGGTAGTTTTTCCATGTTCTTACTTGAAATGAGAATTGAATGTTAGACATTGAATGATACATATTATATTCAGGAGAGAATGGATAGGCATAAAAGTGCATAAAAAATGGCATACACATGCCTAAGTATTTGTTAAATTGTTAGAAATTGATTTCCCAACGGAGGTTTATTTCATGTTATTTAATAGACGTGTTTTAGGTGGAAAAAATACATGGAGAACTAATTGGATTTATAATTGTTAAGATGGTAGTTTGTCTCTTAAACATGCTTTGCCCTAAGGAAAGTCCATGCTTAAATGGCATGTCTTATAAATATCGTATCACTGTAGAGATGGCATTCTGATTTAGCTCTGCCAAAGATCAAGCAATGACCAAGTCAGCTAGGTATGTTCTTTAATGCCCTTTCTACTTCTGCAATGAAATGAATAACGTGGAAAATGAGAGATTTTCTTCGGTGCTTACAATTTCAAAGCCTGCAAGTAATGGAACATCGGTTATCCAGCATTCTTTACATTATATAATGTATATAATACAACAGAAAGTCCACTGGGATGAGTACTCTTTTAATAAGAAGAAATGAAGAGTCAACTAGTTTTTCTTTCTTCTAGCTTCTGCTTTCCAATCTCTTCGACTCAGCACCACTCTAGGAGTTTCATTATTAACAATGCTAGAAGATACAGACAGAATTCCCCTCCCTGGCACTGTTTCTGACTTATTTCCAATGGCTAAGGATGTCACCTCAGACACGGTTGGAGGATCAATAGATCCATTCATTTCTTGACGCTTTAAAACATGAGCCCGTCTTGCATCCTTTTTCCAGTCTCGAGTACAATATACACGGGTCATGAAGTTGTTGTGATTCCCGTTTGGTTGTAACTCTACTTGCACAGGTGCTGCCTCTTCCACAACAAAAGACTTCTTTGTTTCAGCTTCTAGACGCTTACGTGCCCTATATCTTCGTTGTCTCTCTCGATTCTTCAGTCGTCGAGTCATTATGTCATTACGCCCTTTGCTGCGCGCTCTTTGATCAACAGACTTCATAATAGAACCATCTTGTGTTCCAGCGGCACTCTGATTATTTTCCATTTTCAGAATAGGGAAAGCATCTGCAGTAATCAAGTCACCTAAGGATGGAATCTAGAAAATCATTCCCTGTGATGCAGGCATCAGATAATTTCATTAGAGCAAGCTAACATTTTAGTCTATATTGCATCCGTTTCGGCTTTAGCAGCCTCTTCAGTATCACAATTAATCATATTATATAATAACCAGCAAATACAGTTGAGAAAAACTACTCCAAAAGTGCCTTCACTTCATTGAGAAGACACTTTTCTGTCAGGGCATCATCTACAACTACAACCTCAAGGTAAAACGGATAGGTTAAGTTTTTAAACAAACGCACGTTATAAAAGCCAAAGAGATGCAGATAACAAATTTGTTTCTTGAAAACATGGAACAAATCACAAACAACCATAAAATTAGAAAACAAAATTTTATAGCACTTCCGCAAAATGTAAAAACTACCCTGCCAATGATACAAAATGACAATTCCCTCTTCATTAATATCCTTCAGAAAATGAAACCACAAAATGAAAAAAACACAAGTAAACGAGGCCTAAGGTATTTTACTGTTTTATTTTTCTAATGTTTATGCATTTCATTGGTATGGCATGCACTTTCTGGAACCCCTTGCTTCAAGGTTTTAAAATCCCTCTAGTGCCTTAAAGATGCTTTTGCCTTTGACTACCTGGTCTGATCATATGCTTACAAATCTGAAACTGCAATTTCATAACATGGAATCGTATAGACTCTTGCCGAACATGTATATATTATAGAGTTCATTGACTTTTTAGATAAGTGAAATTACCAAATGAGATGGCAGAAAAGAGAGACCTAATGTTTCTTGTATTGAATGCTATTTAATTTACCAGAAGTGAAAATCAGAAAATAAAGAAATGCATGATTTGAAGAATTGAAACTTACTGACAGATGTAATCTCCAGCAAAAGGAAGATGCAACAAATCAAACTAAGCCAAGCCCTAATATGTAGTTAACATTATGAATAACTTCTTTCCTGCCTCCTTCTGAAAGTTCCATGCAAAAGAAATACTAAAGTGAGACTTCTGATTTAGCTGCTCTAGAGACTAGCGGGCTAGCGGCAGTCACTAATAAGAAGAGGTGAACTTTCCCTGATGATTAATCAGTCTTACGACAACATAGGATGATGGAAACTATATTAGCACATATAAGATGAGAAGAATATCACAACTAGAAGGTGCAAGCGACAAGGTCTAGGAAAAGGTTAAATCCCTCCAAAGTTGTCTTAGAGACAAATGTGGCCTGATAATAATTATTCAATTTCAATGCTCCTATGATCCCACCTAATGTCTAACGATGCCAAAGTTGAGATACTTTCAAAAGCTTGCATTAGATGGGAATGCACTAGAACTAATTCATCCAGAAAAAAATAGTTCAAGGACAGAAAATTGCCCAAGCTATTTTATAAAGGATAATTTGGTCATACACTCCTGTGCGATCATCTTATGTCATCAACCACTCATCTTATCCGTAGAGGCTTCATTGGACATAAAATGTAACAAACGTAAACACAAGCATTTAACTGCAAATTCACCCAAATGCTTTATCATAATTGAGCAAGTAGGTTCCATTCTGTATTTCCTTCCAAACAATAAGGAAATCTGCGGACATAGCGTGGATCAATTCTAAGAATTATTCCCCCTTTCTGTTATTAAGGAGGTTAACTAGAAGTACAAGCGAAAACACTTCAGTGAGATTTGGAAAAGGCAATCCCAAGAGCCATTTGAGAAGCAGCCCCTGTGGGAAAGGTTTTAAAAGTTTATCATAGAATACATTCCCTACATTTCAGTAATCAACAAGTAAATTATCCCAGAAATCCAGATCATAAAAAAGCAAAGAATCTGAGTCAAAGGGTATGAACTACATAGTTATCCTAGTAACAGTCTATAATGTGGCACTGGGAAGAAATCATGCAAGTAAAAAAGAGAACTTTAATTTGTGACAACACGGATACTGTCATAGGGTTAAGCAGCAAACAGATTGCAATTGAACCCTTGAAAATTAGCCACCTAAAGGGTTTAAAGTGAAAGGGGTTTCATCCTCAAATTAGATTTAAAACACGGAGAAAGTGGCTCCGAAACAGACAAGCTTTGAGGTTCCCAAGGTGAAATGGTTATGTAGATGTATATTAAGTGAGTGATTGAAAGGTGGAGAAAATGCAGAGGAGAAAGGTGTTGAGTTAGCTACCTTGGTAGATGCAGATCCACACAGAAAGAAAGTGAGAAGTGAGAAGAGGAACAAGTGTTTGAAACTGCAACGAATGGTGAGAGACGATGTTTGTGTTTGTTTAGGTTCGTCAAGACAAAACAAATTATTATGACAACTCTCAGTCTAACACAGTTGGTCTTGCTTAGGACACAGACACAGTTTCCTGAGAAAGAAATCACACGTGTGATAATATAATATCGCTTACATTCTTTTGTTATTTACACATGTCACCTGAATGACAAGATGGGGTGGTGGCGCAGTTGGCTAGCGCGTAGGTCTCATAGCTTCTGAGTAATCCTGAGGTCGAGAGTTCGAGCCTCTCTCACCCCAATGATTTTTGACCTGTACACAATTAAAAAACTGTTGAGACGTGCCAAATTGTTTTACTTTTGAGTTAAAAATAAAATCTTTAAGTAAAATTGAAAGTTGTTGTTTTCTTTTTTCTTATTTTTTTTTAGTTTTAAAGCTCCTTTTAAATTTAATGTTGTTTGTATAATTTTTTTTAAAATTTTAGTTTATTTAAAATTAATTATCTTGTAAATAAAATATTATACAAAATTAAGTTAATTTAGATAAAATTAATTCAACAATAATAAAATAAATAAAGTATAAAATACATAAATCATTTACACGTCAAACACTCAAACTTATGATAAGTTTGTGTGTAATGTAAAATTTCTTAATGTAACAACACATCACTAACAGAAGAAACTCGTGTAGTGTCGAAAATTAATCAGTTGATTGCTCAAGAGAACCACTGCTCCCTTAGTTTACTATTTTTATTTATATTCTTTATGTTAGATAAAATTGAACAATCAATTAATTAGTTAAGTCAAAAAAAGATAAAGCAAGAAAGTCCTGTGAACTAATAGATGGGACTCTTGCTCAAAGCTGCCAACTCCCAAGTATAAACAAAGGTTTAATGCTCATGAAAGTTCCTTCATTCAAAATTCCTTGTCTCTTGGTTGGATTAAATGCAACAGTGAAAAGAATAGTACTGATGGATCTATCCACAATAAGTGTACCAAAGCAGCTTCTGCAATAATTAATTGGATTTCAGAGGAACGTTGGATCATCAAACTCCATTGTAGCTGAACTTTGAGGAATGCTTTCAGCTCCTCAAATGGATTGGTCCAATAATATGAACTTCCTTTGATTGCTGTCAATCTCATTCTCCAGGGTCAGGGGTGCAATAATATTGAAACAACTATTCAGCATTGGAGGAAAAAGCTACGGGCCTTTTCATGCCAGATTTGCTTGGTTGTTTTGGGCCTTTAGGCCCTCCTAATTCATGTAACGTTGATGTGGGTTCTATAATCTATGTTCAGCGATGTGTTACAAACCAATGAGAATTTGGTTCACTACATGTAAGGCCATCTGCTTATCTGTGTTATCTATGTTATATAATCTTGTATACAACTATTGAAAGTGATGATATTATACATAATATTACTATTCCACCGAAAAGTTATTATTAGTTCAAAATAATCCATGAATAAATGATAGCCGCAGATAATTTGAATTTATAAGAAAAATGTAAAAAAAAAGTGTATATTCTGACTTGGAAGGAGATATGCATCGGAGACATGGGTAATATAGGTGGCTGAAGACCTGACAGATACAATTGGCATTTGTTTCTTGATATGCTAAAGAGCACCCAGCTTCTAATAAAGTGCACGTGGATTATAATCCTACAAACAGCGATTGTGGAACACATTTTGAAATTGATATAGAACGAACTACTATAACCATGCACTTCTTGTTGCTTTCAAAATGGTCAAGAATAAGCATGATTTTTTTTATCCATTAAAATTACAATAATGATATTAAGATTCAAACTTAAAAATCTTTATATATTACTCTAATCTTTTATATTAGATCGATTTTAATACTTAATATATAATAACAAATATTTAGACTTAAATTTATAGTGTCAAATAGTTTCAAATTGGTTCATACACAATGACAAAATGTTTCAAATTGGTTCATTTGAAACACAATGACAAAATGGATTGATTTAAATACCAACTTTTAATTTATTAATTCACTCATTGCACTTGTATTAATCGTATATAATACTAACATAAGCAATAGTATATGATAACAATATATAATACATAATAAAGGAGAAAGTATGGAATGAAAAGTCCAGACATATTGTAAATCACAAAGGAAAGTGGTAGATTAGATAAATTATAGAATCATATAAAAAGATTTTACACAAATAATTTGCTGAATTGAAATCGTGACTTAGAATAAATATCATTGTAATATGATTATATTAAGAGTAAAATTAGATAGTAAAATGTAATTACTGTATAATGGATATTTCATAATAAATGTTTTGGACATGTCAAGATGTAACATAGATCTCGATAATATATATATTCATACATTCTATCACAAGTTAACATGTGATATAAGAAATTTATATTCTATATTGGATGGTCAACATGTGTCATAGTAGGAGTACAAAATATGAAAATTTAATATATTCACAGGTATATGACATTATCTATTATAGGATGTGGGTGTTTTTTTAATGTGTTGTTCATTTTATCAATTTTTTTCAAACTTGCATAATAGATAAATATTCTAGTACATTCCAAATAATTCAATTCAACGTATTATTGTCTAGTTTAATACTAATTTATATAATATATGCAATATCTATCATTTAAATTGAAATAATATATAAATTAACTTTCATAGCAATCAATCCTAAATATAATAATAATTGTCATTAGTTAATAACAATGTACACCAATAAAATTAAAATAATGTACACAAATATATATGTACCAAAAGGATAAAACTAAAACATAAATATGTAGCCAATATATATAAATAAAACTAAAATAATGTACAAAAACATAAATCAATCCTGAATAGTCTAAAAAAAGATGTTCATCTTATGTGAATATTTTCCATGCCGTCTTGAGAAAATGGATGTGAATTTTTAAATATCTAAACAATTAATTTAAGATAGTGATAAATTAAAAATTAGTTGATCATTATATTGTTATATAATCATTTAAAATAATAAATTTGAATTAAAAATGTATTACTTCTCTACATAAGCCCCTAATGTTATTGGTAATGATGGCCGGTAAGCGTAAGTTTCATCATGCAATAGTCACACTCATGATTATCGACTTGATTTGGGTACTATAATATAAAACATAAATAAATTATATTTAGAATATATTTTAATTAAATTCTAATTACTATTTGGTTGATAATTGACTTACCTTGGGAGTAATATGCTAAAAGCTTCTTCTTAGATTTAAGAGGAAGTCCCTACAACCTCAAGCTTTCTTTTAGAGACCTATGAAAGCAAATGATAAACAAAAAATAGTTAAACGATACAATATTTACTTGTTTCATAAAATTATAATTTTTTTTGACAAAGATTGATAGTAAAAACTTACAAGTTGATGATGTGTCTAATAAGTAAATCAATAGGTTTTTTTGTGTGTAATGAACACAACAGAACCATAAGAAATTGAGTTTTTGACCCTTGTGAGGCTCTTTTATAAACTTTTTACAAAATGAGATTGTTTTGAGATATATTACATCTTTGGAACTATTTTAAACAGTGTCATTATGAGCTACAATAACATTGTAACATTTTATTTTTGAGCCAACAAAAGTCGCTATGAATTACAATAAATTTAGTTAAAGTCAACATATGTCGTTATGGGCTATAATGTCTCCTTGAATTTATTTTTTAATTTTTACTTTTAGGGGGGCCGTTGTGGGCTATAGTACCCCCATTAATTTTTTTAGGTCGCTGTGGGTTACAACGTCCTTTTATTTTACACGTAGGAGAGCCACTATAGCCTTGGTTTAACTTTTTTTTTTTTCATAATGCACTTTGTCAATTAGAATATGTCACATGACACTAACATTCAATTTTTTTTGGGATCCTTGTGAGCTATAACGACCCTGGTTAACCTTTTTTCTTAAATTTTTTTTTTATCACACATTCTACCAATCATAATGTGTGATCACATGACTCCAAATAATGAAAAAATAATTTTTTTACCCCTTTATAAAAAGGATCTCATCCCTTAGTTGGTTTCTCTTTTAAAATATATGTTCTAAAAAAAATTAAATAAAAAATTGTGTAACTATAGACTACAGTGACACACAAACGTAAAAAAAAAAAAAACAAAAAATATAGCAATTGCTCACAGCAACACACAAACACAAAAAAGATAGTGTAACTATAACCTACAATGACATAAAAAAAAATTAGTATAATTGTGGCACATAACAACACACAAAAAATAAAAAAAAAGTGTAACTATGACCTACAACAATACACAAACACAAAAAAATATAACTACATCGCTGTAAACTCCAACAATCCTTAATCAAGTCAGATTGAGTCACTATAAACTACAACGACTCATTTTGGGTTGCAGCAGCTCAAGCTTAATGGCTCAAAAAAAAAAAAGTGTAACTATGACCCACAACAATACACAAACACAAAAAAATATAACTACATCGCTGTAAACTCCAACAATCCTTAATCAAGTCAGATGGAGTCACTATAAACTCCAACGCCTAATTTTGGTTTGCAGCAGCCCAAGCTTAATGGCTCAAAAAAAAAAAAAGTGTTATAAGTGTTGTTGTGGACTACAGTAACACTATGTAAAACAATCTTAAAAACGTAATGTATTTCAAAACAATTTTATTTACATAAAATATTTGTAAAAGAGTCCCACAAGAATTAAAAAATCAAAAAATAATGTAAATAAAATTACCCTTCTAAACTAAATAACTCTAATATATTCTACATAAAAGGATCGAGTTATTGGTAAATTTGTTAATTATTTTTTATAAAACACGCTACAGTATGGTTGTATCGAATGTTTAAATAATTTGATATATTTTACGCACAAAGTTTAATTATGTATCTGAATTTTAGGCAAAAAAAAATGAAAGTAATGTTCTACAGGAGTAACATTTTTTTTTTACAACTGCGTATTATATCATTAAAACACAATAAATATTATGTATTCATGTTTTGAGCATATAACCTTCTTTTAAGTAAAGATTCTACAATATAGCCTAAAATACGCCTAAAATTAACAAATTTAATGTGAAAAGTTATGACAAACCCGCAAACCCACCTTTAAATTTGCAAAACAAAGTATTCCTTCTGTATCAAATTATCAATTCATTTACGGATTATAAAAAAATATGAATTCATTCATAAGACCAAGTCTTACCCTATTATTCACAACACATCACACCCCTAATCCTATTCCTATCTTATTCTATCCACCCCAATGAAACTATTATTATACATATAATAGGAAGGAAACAAACAAACTGCATGAAATTGTGGCTGCCACGTAACATAACAAACTAATGTTAATGTATGACCCCTCAAAAAATCTCGGTCCAAGGAAAACGAGGGAACGAGTAAATGTCGCAGTAGAAAGCTCTGTTGATTTTCTTCTCTTGTTTGTTGAGTGAGAAAAGAAAGCACTTGATATATATGTACACATCATTTTACTTTATCAAACACAAAACAATCCTAAAGTGGCAAATGGATGACCCCAAACTACCCTCTCATGATTCCTCCATCTCTCTCATTGCTAGGCTCGATCATTTGGAGTTCATTGTGAGCTTTTCACTCTCCAAACCTTCTTCTAATTAACTTAAATTGTCATATTCACATCAGTTCTGTGACATATCTTTCTTATCCTTATATTCTCAAACATTTATATATGCTCGTGTATATGTATCAATTTTTCTTTACACATGTTTATGGATGTCATGACAGATGAAATATTTAGAAAGGAAACAAAGATGTGGCAGCAATGTTCTTGCTGACAAAGGCAAACAATCTTTGAATTTTGCCACGAAAGAGGATTTCTATAAAGGAACATTGTTGGATCGAGTGACCTCTCTTGAACGCAGACTTTTTCAGGTTAAAAATTAAATTTGGTCTAGGGTTTTTATTTTTTTTATTTTCTATCTTTTTTATAACATAGTATCAGCAGAGTATTTTTCAATTTTGTTAAAAATTAGTCTCCTTCAAAATTTTAACTTTATTAAAACTATCTCTTTTGATATTATTTTTTTTCTTGTGAAGTGTTTTCTCAATAATAATTCCATCTATATTTTTTTAATTCCTATACACTAACTACCAATCAAGTTTTGATTTGTACAAGAAATTATATATAATTAAAAATACTACTTTACTTATATGAGTCAACAACTTATAATTTAAAATAACACTTAAAATATATGTTTCTGTACACTATTATTATTTTTTATTAAAAGAAAATCATTTTCCATAATTAGACAACAAACATCACCAGATGCTGTCTTGATTAAAAGGGAATATATCTTGATTGGTGATGAGCATACTTCCTGAGATAATCATAGAAATAGGAAAGTGAGAAGCCCACAACTGTGATGACATAAACCACTTGCAAAAAAATAAGTTTATCATTTAGGGAATCAATTCAAGTAGCTCATGAAAACAATGCTTAAACTCATCTACATGTAGCTGGAATATGCCTAAGAAAATGACACCCTTTCACACGTACGCATCAATTACTGAGCAACAATTATTTTACAACACCATCATACGGTCACACTCACACCTATATTGGTGAGAATATAATCATCGCTAATTTTGTGTATAAACTTTGTCATATCATCAGATTTATATACGTTCTCGATGAGATGTGTTATGTATTAGTACAAGAATATAATTATTCTAACATTTTAATATTTTATCCACCGTGGAAGCTAATACACCAATGTACTTGTTCCCTTAGCTTTACGTAGAGATGGATTCGAGTGGCAGTTCTGACCCTTTGTCACGTGATTCCACACAAACTTTTGGGGAGTCTTCGTCCAGCAAGGGTTCCAAGAGAGAAATATGTTATTCATTTCCAACTTTCAACAATCTCCCAAATAATGTAGAGAAAGGATTAGTGCCTCAAAACCATATTCAGACACTAGAAATATCACAGGTAAGTCCATTACTTTCGAGTTGTGAATTTCTTATATGTTGAATTGATTGTTGAAAAATGAAATGTTTACATTATAGTTTAGAGGCTCACAGCTAAACCCTGTAAATTCTTTTATCAACTGTCACCATCCACTGGGCAAACTAAATTTCATACACTTTTTTCTTTTCTTTCTTAATTCTTATGTTACAATCAGTGCTTGGAGTTTCGGCCCCAGATCTTAATATTGTCCTGTTATAACAAGAATAAAAAATAAAATGGTAACTTCTCGATATGAGATAAAATATTAGCAGAATGTCTCTTTCACCAGGAAAAATGAACCCAATTCCAATCCAATTAGATTAGAATACTCGATTTGAGCTTTTAATTTGTACAAGGCATACCTAACATGAAAATTTGAAAGGACCACTTAGTGTGCAACTGTTTGCTAAATAGTGTGTATGCTCGTGCAGATAAAAGAAACAATCATGTGCATCATGAATGGAGCTTCTAGTATGTTATATTTTCCTTTTTGGTTGTATCTAAATAAATTAAACAGTAAAGTCCAAAGAGCCTGCAATTAGTTTATTAAGCAGAAATTAGTATCAATTATGGGCAACATCATACGCAATAATGTGTATATAACCTTTATGTTTTATATTACTATTACCTTGGGCAACATCTTATGCAGCATATTTTCTAATGGTTACGGAATCATACAAGCCATTTACATGGTGTTTCTGTTGGTTACAGAATCCTATACTATTATTGGAACAAATATACATGAGAATCTATGTTTGACAAATATATTGGTGCAGGAAAAATGTGAGAGTGAAAAGCAACTAATTAAAAACTCGGGCCCTCCTAAGCAGCAAGTGGTGAACAATAGACCGAAGAAGAATGAAAAGAAATGCAAAGTTGAGAAGAAACGGATTTCTCCTGTTAGTTGGCCACATTTAAAACTATTTGGTTGTTGATGCTATTAACATTGCTTAATTTCTTTTTCTACTGCTTTTGTCTATACCCTGGGCATTAATAGACATTTATGTCGTTGGGTTTCAACTTTGTGGTAATAATAATAAAGTATGTGAGGTTAATTAGATTTTGGTAGATAGATATTCAACTACTTTTAAATTCTTATGTATGTAAACATATTGCTAGTGCTCGGCGTGCTTAGGGAAATGAACCATTACAATTTTTAAGGGACAGAAGGCCATGTGAAATCATGAACTGTAATAACACTAAGTTTGGTTCCAGATTCAGACAATCCACTGTTTATAATTGTTTAAGTCGAATTATTGGAAGATGGATGCCATCGATTTCATCGTTTGTACGGACCTAGAGTTTTTAAATGTTTGTTTGATATAAATAAAGATGTGTTTAGGGAATAATCAACAAATTTGTTGTACGAACAGTTTGTTATTATTTGCTACTTAAGATATGAGTTGGTTTAACTTATTTCAAGTAAAAATGAGATTAAATAACTCCTTAGAAAATGATTGGCGTAATAAAAATAAAGTTTAAATGTCTTTGATCTTTTAAATTTGTATAATTTTTTTAATTCCTCAAATTTGAAATTAACATTTTTAGTCTTTCTAATTAGAAAAATTTTACTTTGATCTTTAATCTTATATTTTGTTTATAAACTTCTCATATATTATTACATTAAATTTACTTACTAAATTCATTATTAGTAAAAATATAATATTAAATCAGATTGATATGCATAATTATAATAAATTTTTACGCTTATATATATTATTGTGACTTAAAAAATTAAAATATTTTTTTTTATAGATTTTCATGAACTTAGAATGTTAATTTTAAGAGATTAAAAATAAATTTATTTTAAATTTAAGAGATTAAAATATATTTAAATCTTAAATAATTTCACTAATTATCTTAAATTATATAATCAATTATGTCAATATATTTTTAGTGTTTAATAAGTAAGCGCCAATAGTATAAAATATTTTTATGTTATCAATCAATAAAAAGTTATTGTTAGTATAATTTTAATTATTTATTTTAAAAATTAACAAATTTTCAGTGATTTATTATTAGATAACAAATATTTATTAAACTACTTTTTCTCAATTTTTTTTTGGGGATTGTTTAACTTCATTTTGACTTGAATGAACAAGAAAACTCCTTAAAATATTGTTATCACATGCCACAGTTTTAAATATAGACCCAAAAAGTTACACTAAGCATTGATTTAAGTAAATATGGGAAATGATACATAATGTCTTCTTTTTTTTTATTTTTTTATTTTTTATAAAGATAAAATAAATACAATTTCTTTGAGGAAAAAAAAAAAAAACAGCTACTACGGTTGTTTGTTATGGATGTCTGTCTATACTCTATACTGAAGGACAAATCATAGTGAGCAGTGAGAGGCAAAGAAAAGTGCAATTGAAAATGAATTTGTTAAGGAGTACTTGGAATCAGATACACCCACTAATGAAAGGCCTAAAGAGAACATGCCTCAACAATGACATATATATAATAAGTTAAAAAGTTTCGAATATCTGGCATTGTGCTTATAACTTTTGATGGTATTAATGAAAAAGGAACTGATGAACAGCATATAAGGCCTGCTATTACTGGCCGCCATGCCGGCTAGGAGACCTTTTCATGACCACCAAATTTAAAATGTTAAATACTTATTTGTGGTCATCATTCGTGAATCTTGAAATTTAAATGAGATAGATATTCTCTGCGTTCAAATTTTATTTAATTTTATCGTGCAAATAAATGCAATAATGTTCTCACTTTGTAAACATTTAAAGAAGAAGGGATGTAAATATTATATTGTTCATTCCTTGGAATTGGACCTGAATATTTTAATAAGATTTGAAGAATTGAGTTTTATAGAAAAGGGTACAAATAGAAAAAAGAAATATTACGCATAATCAAGCATTTTTTTTACCGAAATTATTTGTTGACAAAATTATTTTTTTTATCTCTTTATTTTTTATCCTTAATTTTAGTCTTTTTATTTAAAATAAAAACATTTGATTTTTTTAATCTTAAAAATATGGAGTTTTAGACTTTTTATCAAATTAACATTTATTAATTATTAAATTTTAATATTTATTCATATTTAAATGATGTGACATTCAATAATATGACATTTAAAGATGAAAAAAATTTAAAAAAATATGTAAATAAGATTTTTTAATAAAAACATTAATTACTAGTTAAAATATATACAAATAAATTTTTTTTTGTTATTTTTTAATTTTTATCTTTATATGTGATTTCATTAAATATCAAGTTGCTTAAGTGGTAAAAGATCACTAAATAATATTAAATTTTAATAATTAATAAATATCAAATTGACGATAAGATTAAAATTTTATATTTTTAAAATAAAAAATTAAATATTTTTATTTTAAAATAAAAAGATTCAAATTAATTATTAATTAACAAAAATAAGAGAATAAAAATACAATTTAACCTAGATATCTCACACTTATAACATGATTTATCAAAAAAAAATTATTCATTATGTAAATTTATTCCTATTTAGTTATGAAAATAAAATAAGGAAAACATTTCAATTTAGAGACTAGTATAATTTATATGATAAATAATTTTGTTCGAGAATCATTCAACATTATCATATGTAATATATAAATAATGATTAACTAGTAAAAATTATATCTTATAAGGTATTTATCTCCCATCTGAATTCAAGACCATTCATTAAGTTGACACAACTTTGTGTCAATTAATTTACACACTTTGTGGTAGAATATTTTTATTTGTTAAAGGGAAAGAAAAATAAAAATTTTACATTATTCTTTTCTCTACAATAAAGAAAACCTAACTTGATAGTTATGAAAGTTGCTTTTTCATCACTAATATTGGTGTAAAACTCTAATGCCGAAATTTTAAAAATACATAATTACTTTGTTATTAATGTTAATTACTTTTGTAGTTTTTTTTAACACCCAATACAGATTCCATGATTCTATCACTAATACTAATACTTATTTTAGGACTAATTTTTCTCAACAAATATTTTTATATATAACACTTAAAAATCAAACCTTTGACTATATTTAACAAATGTGATTATCTACACCCATACAATTAATATTGGTATATTAGCGTGATAGTCATGGAATGAACGTGTGACAAGAGCGAAATTTGGGCTTAGCTGGAAAATCCGTGGAATGGTTGGGACATCCATTTTTTTAGTTTTGAAAGAGGAATCCACGCCAGCTTCAATCCTCTTTTGTCTTAATTTTGGAGAATTAATGTGTCTAATTCAGATGACCTCATAAATCATAATACAGCCACAGCAAAGTTTTTATCGCTATGGAAAATAAAAATCTTTAAAAAAATTTAAAGAGTTCACTTCATAATAATTAATGGAATCAAATGGTGGCTACAAGCAGACAGTTTCTAGTTGTGCCGTGAACATCATCTTTAGACTTTAGTTATCTTTTGGATAGACACCAACCAATGAAATTGTTTCAATGTCTACAAAATTTTATTATTTTAGCACCATTATTAATACCCAGAACAATGATAATCCTCAGTTGATCCAATAATATATTCCCTTAATTATTTCACCTTTTATTTTTTTTTCATAAAATACTGTCATCAGATTCTTCTAGAATTGTTCTGTAGCACATTAATCTAATTGCTTTCAAATAACTGAGTCAGAGAATAACTACACTAATACCTCTATAGGTGTATTTATTAATTAGTCAACTTAATTTCTCTTTGATTTTGGCTGCATGATGTAGTCAAATCCATTATTAGAGCAACTACTTAGTATTTTTAATCTACTTTTGGTAAATTAAACAATCAATGTCACACTCCAATTAATATAATATTATTTGAATGATGTTATACGCAAGAGACATAATTAGACGAGAGGAGATAAAAATATGTAATAACATAGGTGATATAATAAGTGAAAAGAGAGATAAAATGAAATATAGAAATTATTGTGTAACCAATATTATTTATTGTGAATATTAGTCATGTGGATCCATGAATGTAATTACATAAAATAAAATCTTAGAGAGGTGGGTAGTTTCTGCAACTTGCTGTGTTGACCTAACGCAACAGCGCAACACTGTGGGATTGGAAACCCCAAGCATCGTGGCAAGGTTTTGTGGGCCATTTTCCTCTTACACATCCCAAGGGGCGAAATGGAATTAATTGTGAGCCTATATAGTGCAAGTTATCCACTCAAAATAAAAATATTATTCTGACCTACTTGATGATGAGTTCCTCGTGATTTATCTCCTATACCTAAATGTTTCTTTTCGAGTTGAGGAGATTTGTCTTTCATTAAATGTTTACATCATTTGAATGAGGGGAAGAAGCAAGATTAGGTAGTCATTAATATGAACAAATCAATGAATATGAATTAGTATGAAAACAATTCAATCGATCATGGTCATAATAAGTACAGGATTTTCCAGTGACTTTGGATGCTTCGCGTAACGTCTCATATTTTATTCAACTTGTCCTCTTTGACCCGAAACAATGACATGAATAATGCATTGTATTATGATAATGTGGGATACTACCATCTTTAATACTATTCTTTTTCTCTTTGCTATAAATGGGTGATGATAGCTGTAATTGGAAAATCAATTTGCACCCCCAACCAAACCCAGTATAAGATTCTTTTTAAATAGCGTGTTGAAATTATAAACCAAAATAAATCAATGAAACTAATTATTCATTAATTTATACTATAGTATTTAGTTTGATTTAATTTATTGTAGACCAAAATTATTGTTGTAAGTTTCTTTTGTTCGCATGTCGTAATGTTTCAAGTTGCAACTTAACTATTATTGTAAGCTGTCTCTATGCATGTGCTTTAATTATCATTAAGTTACTATAAGTTAATCAATAGCGGTTGACTTGTTGCAATGCTCTAAGTTTTGTAGTTATGCGTCAATTAATAAACGAGTATATATATGACTAATTTTAAAAGTAAGAAGCTTAATTATTATATGAATTTTAAGTTTTTATTTACTGTTTTAGGACATGCATTGAACTATAGTTTGGAAACTGAATTAGACCAATACTACAGTAGGACATGTATTTAAGATCCGATAAGTAT